AAGTATTAGTTGGGGATTATTATATTTTTTGTCATTATGTGCAAAAAGATCAAAAGATTTGTTTCTTATTTCATTAAGACAGGGAGTAAGGATTAGTAGATTAACTACCATAAACCAAATGGTACAATCTTACATTGAATGCTAAATTCTTAAATAATAGAGGTATGTACAAATGCTATGGGATCACAGAGAAAGAAGTGATTGATTTTGCAGAAGGGATGGAGGGAGGTAGGGCCTTATGGGTGAGATTACATTTCCTAAAACAGGTAAGGAGATAGGAAACAACACACATAGAAGACATAATGGACCCGGGGAGCGCCCATTCGTTCTTTTATCCGGTCAATAAATACTTATCACCTTCAGGTGTCAAGCACTGTGCCAGTGGTGAAAAAGTTCCACCCAAACTCTTCTACCTGTATGGATCTTATCATCTAATAGGAGAGATAAATAGATGTATTTATGGACAAGTAAACAAACAAATCTATAAATATAAGCAGCAACGGGCACTACAAAGGAAGAAAGAAGGGAGCAAAAGAAAGTGACAGGAGCTATCTACTTCCATAAGATGATCTGGGAAGGCTTCTAGAGTCAGTATTTAAGCTCAGAACTAATGGAAAAGAAAGGGAAGAGACGCATGCATGGTGAGAAGAGAGGCCCAGCCATGGACAGGACCACACACACACAGGCCCTGCGAGCAGTACAGTGTGTCTGGACTCCAGGGCATGTGGCAGGAATGTTGAGCTATGAGCAAAAGGTAGTTAAATGGCCCTGGCCAGGTGGCTTAGTTGGTTGGAACATTGTCCCACACACCAAAATGTTGTGGTGTCAATTCCCAGTCAGGGCACATACCAGGGTTGCAGGTTTGATACCTGGCTGGGGTGCATACAAGAGGCAGCTGATTAATGTTTCTCTCACATCAGTGTCTTTCTCTCTCTCTCTCTCTCTCTCTCAAATTAGTAAACACATTCTCAGTGAGAATTAAAAGATAAAATAAAATGATAAATGGTTTGATATAGTTCAGTAATTTGTCAGAAGAACAAACTACCTGAGCCAGTAAATGGTTCCCCATCCATGTTGCCTCATAACATTTGCCCCATTATGTACTCTATGTCACTGCGTTGTCCGCCCACCACTAAGCTTCAGACGAAGACCTAGGACTGCGTCAGAGCTATGGCAGTACACATCCAGAGCATGGAGCAGGTGAGGACCACAGACCACAGATCTGGGCGTCACCAGCTGAGCCCATTCAGAGAAAGGCAATGGAGATGATATGTTTGTCATAACACGAATCTGAACTATGTGGCTTTGGCATTGTAGCCAGGCAGCCAGCAGTGAGGAAACAGATATTGCAGGATGGAAAATGACACACCCTTGTTACGCTTTGATTAACCATGAGGTAAACCTGTCACCAGCCACAACCTGGAGGGTAGACCTGTAGCAATGGGGAAGGTGGGTGGAAAAAACCAGAGTGATGATGGCATTGGCTGCTCTTGGCTGTTTTTTGGTAAAGGACGATGAAAAATAGTTGAGGTGAGACAAGAACTACCAGGAGCTTACAAGTACGTAACACAGCCTGGGTTGTGTCTGTGCCCTGCAGCTCTACTGCTCCTGTCCTCCAAACAGGAGATGATCATTCAGAGTCTATCTCAAGAGTCTCCTTAAGCATTACTGGTGAGACAATAGGAGTCAGCTCAGCTGAAAAGATAAGGTAAAGGGTGTGGCTTCCCTACTTAAACTTATTGTTCCAGAGAGTTTGAGGTGGGCACCAATAAATTGAGGGATGGGGGCATGAGCCAAGCACAGACTAATAAGATGCTGCTGGCTTAAGGTTGGGGCGTGTTACCTTTTGGCTGTGCTTATTTTTTCATGAACTAACTGAAAGCTGATACAGCAGAAACCTACCATGATTTTGATGAAATTTTATCACCAATGTATGGGCACCCCTCAGATGGACTCCCCTACCCCATAATTTGGTTTGGATGTTTAGACCAAGAACCACACACACACACACACACACACACACACACACGGAGAGGGTATGAAAACGTTTATTATTCACATAATGAGACTTTCTGGGGAGAGCAGGGCAGGTCCCCAGGCAGATTCCCAAATGACTTGACTGGCTTGTCTTTTGTGGTCCTCAGGGTGTGAGGCTGGGGGGAGGGTTCCTGCACACAGGCCAGAGTGTGTGCGCCCTGAACTTCCCACCCGGGCCAAAGAGGGAGGCGCCCAGGCTGTATAACGGAGCTTGCCCAGGTGAGATGAGGGGAAAGGAATGGGGAATGATGAAGCTTGAAAACTCTTAGCAGTCAAACATCAAAATGGAGTCGGCATCTTCATCACAGCCCAATGAATTATAATTCTGTCCTACAGAAGCCTATGTTTGTTTGATTCCTAAGGAAAGCTAGGTCTACAAGTCTGCACCAGCATCACGGACCTGTGAAAGCTGGGAAGCAGCCCTCCCCCGTTCCTCCAAGATTTGGATGTGGCTGAGTCTGATGAGCAAGCATGTCTGAAAAGTCGAACCACGGGCCACAGAGGACAACGGGCAAGAGAGCTTCTCCCAGACAGCAGACAGCAAGGGACCTTTGTTAGCCCTGTTCAGTCTCCTCATGGCATGGGCCATCGACGGCTATACATCATTCCTTTCTTTTAGTTGAGTCTTCACTCTCGCCTTTTTCATTTTAGTAATAGAAACTTTACACTGGAGTTTTAGGAAGACATATATCCTTCTAGAGGGACATGTCTCAGCTTTCCTTAAAGCTGGGTATAGCTATGTAGTAAATAGTTATGGACTGAGCAGAAGTGACGGCTAAAACTTCGTTAAAAGGAAATAGATTGTTCCCAACTTCCTCTCTTTTTATAGGCTGCACTGTGGATGTGCTCCTCTGAGCCAGCTTTGACCATTATTACCCTTGGGAGCGAGAGAACAACAGGTAGATGAGTCCTGGGACCCCAGGTTACCTTGTGAAACACAGCTGCCCTACACTTCTCAGCTACTTCTGGGTAGTTATGTGAGGGCAGGAGAAACTGTCCTATGTGAGCAACCATATTCTGGGCTCTTAGGTCTTTTTTTCATTTATCCAAAAAAAGAGAATTAAAATATCTTCTCACATACAAAAAAGAGAATTAAAATATTAAGTTAAGCTTCTTTCCCTTTTATGATCTTTAAAATGCCCTCCCCTTATTCCTTTAGATTTTATCTTTAATTAGACAATATGAATAGTCTCAAATTTAACTGGCTGTAATTTAACTACATGTGACCTCATGAATTCAGTGGGCTTCTCCTCTTTTCCAAGACCCAACCTACAGAAAACAGTCATAATCAGTTATAATTCATTGAGCTGTGAAAACAGTATAGAATGTATATTCTTTGGGCCTAAATATAGGCATTTTGTTAATATAAATGAAAGCTCAGATCTATTTATAGTTATTTTCCCTTTTCCAACACTTAGTATATGTCCATGTGCTCTTTTTAGCTAGTCTCTGTAATCAATTAACCATAGATTATTGGATTAAGATAAATGAATAAAGAAGACTTCGGGTGCTACAAGGTGATACAAAGATGGTAATTTTCTAATTCCCATTTTCCTATGGCTCGGCTTCAGAATGGTTCGCTGTGTTGCTAAGACAACAGGGATGCTGCCACAGAAAACTGGGACTGAAGTCAAGGCACTGGCGCTGCCTCAAAGGATGTCTTAAACAGTGTGTTCAAGGGCTGCTCCACAGTGCAACCTGTAACACTTGAACTAGAAAAAAATTATCATAGTCATCCAGCACCCTTCTACCAAAGACTATTAACTCTCTTAGTTACTTGCATTTTAAAATTAACGAAACAGCCCTGGCCAGGGGGCTCAGTTGTTTGGAGCATTGTCCCATACACCAAGAGGCTGCAAGTTCCATTACCAGTCATTGCTTATACCTGGGTTGTAGGTTCGATTCCCAGTTGAGGTGTGTCCAGGAGGCAATTGATTGATGTTTCTCTCTCACATCCATGTTTTTTCCTCTCTCTCTTCACTCCTCTCCCTTCCTGTTTCTAAAAATCAATAAATGTATCCTTAGGTAAGGATTTAAAAAATAATAATAAAATTAAGAAAACAGTAATATGTGGATTAAAAATCAGGAAATTATTGTTCCACTAATGGGTGTTTCTTAGGACCCTGAGCAAGTAATTGAAGGGAGCCTGTCTTTAAATTCTAATTTGCCTTTAATCTACTAGAAGCATGTCTGAAGAGTATTAGAATACTCTTAGTATTCTTCCATTAAATATATACATTTCATCCAAACTAAGATTTGATTTTACCTGGTAGATAAATAGGGTAGGTTTGATATTCACTAAGGCCTGTAATTGATAATTGGAATTTGAGTTTATGAACAGACTCTAAGAGGTCTGGTCTCTTCAATGAACTTTTGATAAAGGCATAGGAAGCTCAGCCGTGATGTGAGCTGGGTGACATCTCCAGGTTTGTCCAAGCACACTGAACAGCAGCAGCAGCAATATTCTTGTTTTAATACTGGGAACATCAAGGCAAGGACAAAGAAAATCAAAATGCAACGTTTGAACAGATCTTGAGTATGTTTTCTGATTTAAAAAAAAAAAAGATGAAAACAGCATTTGACTGAGCTGAAAGGTGACCTTCACATCCTGTACATTCTATTGCACAAGGACAGAATCCACCCAAAATAAACATGAAGAGGTGAAGAAAGAAGGGCAGTGCTCTTAGAGCTAGGGCCTGGTTCGGAATCAGTCCTCTTAAATAACCTGGTGAAAAAGAAGGGGTAGGCAGAGGCCAGTGATGGAGGGTATGTTTCCCAATCTTTGAGCATCCCAGGTTGAGGAGTCACACAAGTGACTGGAGACCGAGGGAACAGCGCCGTGTTCCTTTTTCAAGCAGAAAGTCCAACAGCACTCTGGTCATGGGAACTGGGGGGTACACAGTGGGGCCAAGACTTGTGCAGGAAGCCTCGTCTCCAAGTCAGAGCATAGTCTGAATCAATGAAACCCAAAAGACCTTTATTTTGAACCCTGGTGTTTTAAGGATAAAAAAGGAAATAGAAAAGAACGCAGACCACTCTCTTTTAATATTTTTAAATACCATAAATCATAATGATTTGTATACTACACTGTACAATTATATACTGCTACTTTCCAAAGAAAACTAACATTTGATTGGATTTTCTGAAACTTACTCCATACAGCTAAGAGCTTGACCCTTTAGCCATCCCTATGACACACAGAATACAACCTATGAGGTTCCAAGTCTCCCACTTGTGCCTGTTGCTGCTGCCATGGAGGGAGGAGCCTCTCTGAGCCTCTCACAGCCCCTTCCATCTCCTGCGCCGGAAGCAGGCTCTGCAGGTAGATGTGTGCCGACAGGTGCAGCTTCTGTGCTTTGCTTTCCACGTGTTCACTCCCCTCTACGAGAACTTGCGCTTCTTCATGGCCTCTGCCTTGACTGCCAGGCTCTTGGCACAGATGGTCAGGACCACAATGAGAACGCCTACCACAAATGTCACCAGGGGCCAGAGGAAGCAGTGCAGGAGGACAATCTCATCATGTGTGCGATGCAGGAGCACATCATCTGGTCTGTGAACAGTCGAAAATAGAAAAGGAAGTGATCAACAGCCTTGGTTTAGTATTGAAGACTCTTTACAATCTGGAGCCCACCTTACTTTCTGGCTCAAAGGGAATAACCATCATTGAAAGTGAAGATGGCTGTGGAGTAGGCAGAAGCTACACTTACCTGCTCCCAGCACCAACCCGGATTTACAACGAAACCATAGAGCAACCAACCTGAATAACCAACTGAAGGGCAGATAAAGAGTATTATAATCAAGGATTTATACAAGAAGCCATATTGAGACTGGTAGGAAGGGCAGAGACGTGAAAAGGGCTGGCCCCTGTATGCATGTGCAGTGGCTGAGAAGCCAGAGGGATACCTCGGCTGCAAAAAAGCTCCCATGAGGAGCATGTAGTCTCAGCCCCGTGGTGGGATACCCAACCCAGAGCCAGGAAGAGGAGCCTATGTAGAATCTGGCTGTGAAAATCAGCCGGGCCTCTGTCCACCTGGAAGAGGAGGGAGTCTACTAGAAACCCAGGTGCTCTCTTAAAGGGCCAATGCACAGGATCTTGCTCTTGGACACTCATCTGGGAATCTGGTAGAGGGAAGACAACTCAGGTCATATGAGAGTCATAAAGAGAAGATCTGAGTGGGATGGCCCCAAGGAGACATATGGAGGGTCAGCCCCTGAGGCCCCTGTGCTGAGTCACTATCCCACGCTGCCCTCAGCCTGGGGAAGGCACTAAGCCAGGCCACCAACTACTGGTGACATCACCCTGCCAAGCTTGAGTCCTGCAGAGAAGACTGTTGGCCACACCTAGCAGGGACCTTTGGTGTGCTCTTTTTCTGGAGAAGCTGTAGGTGGACACTCTGTCATTGAGCTGTGTGGCTTTAGAATGGGGGCCAGTCTTGCTCCCCTCCCGCAGGCTAAGCTGACACCACCCACACTGGAAGACTGTTCTGATTTGCCCTCCTGAGTCCTGGTGGCTCTGCCCCCTGGAGCTTGCTTCTGCAATGGGGCCTGCTGGCTGTGCCCAGCCTGAACCTGCAGTTTACTCTTCCTGGGGGAGCAGGATTAGAGACTCTGGCAGAGACTAAGTGGTACAGCTTGGAGATAGGGGCCACTTTCCCCCAAATGAGTGCCTGACCGAGCTGTCCTCAAGCAGGAGACTCACTAGCCCCATCCTCCTGACTCTGGTTGGCCCACCATACCAAGCTAGTGCCTTGTGGAAAGGTCTAGGGGTGCAGTTAGCCTAGGACCACTCTACAGTTTTTCTTTGGAAGGCTCTAGAGGAAGAGCATGCAACCTCAAGGGGTGGCAGCGTAGCTGACAGGTGGAGGTAAACCTCAGGCAACCTTGGACCCTTTACTGATCTGACCCTGGCTCAGAGCTGGAGGAAGCCAACTGTTATACAGCTTGGCCCATCCCACACACCCAGGCACAGTAGATGCAGCCACAAACAGTGAGTAGTGTGGTAGCCCCAGACGGGTAGCCCAGGGCCAGTTACACACAACATCTGACATCAGCCTGCATCAAACCCCACCCATGTGGACCCAGAACCAACACAACCAGTGGTGGGCTTCAGACCCAAAAAGGGATTCCAGAAGGCACCAGAGCCTACTGAGAACAACTCTGTCTTGGTGGGGGTGGGGACAGCCCCTACACAGCTACTCATACACTGTGATCAAAGCCTATCCTGATAGTCAGCCAGCCTGAGGAGTTAATTCCACCCACAAAGTGGCCCACAGCCTTAAAGACTCACCTACAACAGGAGGGTGCGCATAACCCACACAAGAGATGGTCCTGGAGCACCTAGCCCAGGTGATCTGGAAGATGGCACCACAGAGCCCCTACATCATAAAGCCACCACTACAAGTTCAGGTGACCTACCTAACACAAAGACAAACACAAAAACGCAGACAGAATGGGGAGACAAAGAAATATGCCCCAAATGAAAGAACAAAAGAAATCCCCACAAAAAGAATTAAATGAAATGGAAGCAACCAAGATACCAGATTCGGAGTTTAAAACAGTGGTTATAAGGATGCTCAAGAACCTTATGGAAAGAATGGACAATCTCAGTGAGAGCTTAAACAAAGAGATAACAAGCATTAAAAAGCATATAGAAACCATAAAAAAGAAGCAGTCAGAAATGAAGAGTATAATATCTGAAATGAAGAATACATTAGAAGGAATAACAGCAGGTTAGATGAAGCAGAGGATCGAATCAGTGATTTAGAGGAGAACAAAACAGAAGAATTACCTGCTTATTTTCTATAGGATTTCCTTTTTGTCTTAGCAATACAACTTTGCTATTTCCTTTTCAACTTTATTTCTCATCAAGTGTTTCCAAAGTGTTTCTTCTTTACTCAGATCTTTCATGATCCAATATGTCACTAGTCATTCTCCACATTAATTTTAACCACAATCTTATGCCACATCATGAACTTTTTCTCCATTAACTATTATTCAAATCTTTTTAAAAAAAAAGTCTAAATTTGAAAACTGAGGTAGAGCCCTGACTGGTATGGTTCAGTTGGTTGGATGTCATCCTGCAAAGCAAAAGGTCGCTAGTTTGATTCCAGTCAGGGTGTTGCCTGGGTTATGGGCTCAGTCCCTGGTTGGGTCCTGTAAGAGAAGCAACCAATCCATGTTTTTCTCACAAATCAATGTTTCTCTCCCTCTATTTCTGCCTCTCTTTCCCTCTCTCTAAAAATAGCTAAATAGACTTTTGGTCAAGATGGAGGCATAGGTAGATACATTGCCTCTTCACACAACCACAGAAAGAATCCCAACTAAACCTTGAAACAAATAACACTCAGAACTGTCAGAAAACTGAACTGCATGGAAGTCTGACAACCAAGGATTTAAAGAAGCCACATCGATCCAGACAGGTAGGAGGGGAGGAGATGCAGAGACACGGCAGACAGGTGAGGAGATGTGGTGTGGTTTGGAGAGGCAGCAGTAGTAGTGGCAGAACCAGGTATGGATGGTCCCACATTAATGTGTGATAGATAAAAATTGGGAGGGAAACCTTTGGAGCAAGCGATCCCAGCCCCAGGCCAGACCACACAGCCCAGGGTTCCAGCACCATAAAGATAAATCCCCGTAACTTCTGGCTTAAAAACCAGTGGAGGTTGGGGCAGTGGAAGAAACAGCCAGATTTTCAGGAAACTCAGCTTAAAGGGCCCGCATAGTCTTAAAACATACACAAATCCACCTACTCTGGGATTTAACACCAGGGCAACAGCTGGAAGGGTGCCAGTCACATATAGGGAGTAGGTGAAGTGACTGGAAATGGGGCAAGTGCCAGGCAAACCCCCAGAAGCCAGGTGGCAGCACAGTCCTGTCTCTAAGCCCTCACCCCACACAGAGCCACAGATTGGTGAAGTGGGTTACCCCACCTTGGTGATTACCTAAGGATCTGTCCCACACAGTTTACGAGTGCCTTTTACAGGGAGTCAAAGCAGCTCTACCTAATACACAGAAACAGACACAGGGAGGCTGCCAAATTGAGGAGACAAAGAAATATGGCCCAAATGAAAGAAGAGAACAATACCCCAGAAAAAGAACTAAGCAAAACAGAGATAGCCAACTTATCACATGCAGAGTTCAAAACACTGGTGATCAAGATGCTCAAAGAACTCATTGAGTACGGCAACAGCATAGAGAGAAATGAAGGTTACACTTAGTGAAATTAAGAAAAATCAACAGGGAACTAACAGTGAAGGGAAGAAAGCTCGGATTCAAATCAACAATTTGGGACATAAGGAAGAAATACACATTGAATCAGAACAAAAAAGAAGAAACAAGAATTCAAAAAAAATGAGGATAGTAAGACTCTGGGACATCTCTAAATGTGCCAATGTCTGAATCATAGGGATGCTACAAGGAGAAGAGAAAGAGCAAGAAATTGAAAACTTATTTGAAAAAAGTAATGAAAGAAAGCTTCTCCAATTTGGTGAAGGAAATAGGCATACAAGTTTAGGAAGCACATAGTCCCAAACAAGTTGGACCCAAAGAGGACCACACCAAAACACATCATAATTAAAATGCCAAACATTAAAGATAAAGAGAAAATCTTAAAAGCAGCAAGTGGAAAGAAGATAGTTACCTACAAAGGAGTGCCCATAAGACTATCAGAGGACTTCTCAAAAGAAACTTTGCAGGCAAGAAGGGACTGGCAACAAGTATTCAAAGTGATGAAAAGCAAGGACCTACAACCCACATTACCATATCCATTAAAGCTATCATTTAGCTTTAGGACAGATAAAGTGCTTCCCAGGCAAGGTAAAGCTAAAGGAGTTCATCATCACCAAGCCATTATTACATAAAATGGTAAAGGGACTTATTTAAGAAAAAGAAGAACAAAATATGAACATTAAAAAGGCAACAAATTCACAACTATCAACAACTGAATTAAAAAAAAAAAAAACTAAGCAAACCGGAACAGGAACAGAATCGTAAGTATGGAGATCATATGGAGGGTTATCAGCTGGGAGAGAGAAGGAAAAGAATATGGAAAATGTACAGGGATTAAAAAGCATAATTGGTAGGAACAAAATAAGAGGATGTTAAGAATAGTATAGGAAATGGAGAAGCCAAGGAACTTACATGTATGACCCATGGACATGAACTAAGGGGGGCATTGCTGGAGAGAAGAGGGGTACTAGGGGGAAGGGGGCAAAAGGGGAAAAACTGGGATAACTCTAATAACATAACAATAAAATACACTTACAAAATAAAAATTAATAAATAAAATCTTTTAAAAAATGAAGCAGAATGTCCACGCAGAGAAACTCAGATGTGGTGTGTTTGATCAGATCTTCATGTCATGTAAAATACTGTTGATTTCTCATCCTTTCACTTACTGTTTTATGAAAGAACAGTTTTACAATTTCTACCCAAACCATTCTACTGTCTAATGACCTTCATTCTTCCATGTATTTATATTTTTCTCTTAAAAATGAAGATTGCATTATTAAATGAGATTTCAGTCAGAAATGGGGATGTAAAATGGGTGTG